ATGATTTTAATTTGATGTAAACCGCCCAGAGTCCCCCATTGTGGGGAGATGGGCGGGGACAGGTCCACTAAATAAATAAAATAAAAAATAAATAAAAATGATTGTTGGTATAAATGTATTTTTTTTCAATTACCCAATTTAATGCTAGAGTAAGAGAAGTGAAAGTCTAGCAACTGTATTGGAAGAACATGCTTATTTATCCCGTATAATTTTGGAAAACACGAGCAACCATGCTGTATGCTGGCAAAACATTTCTTATAGTACAGGCAAAATGTATGCCATTAAAATCAAATTCAGATCAGTATCTCTACTGAGTCTCATTCTAAAAGCTATAGCTATTCAGAAGTTGTAAATTGTTCTTACATTCATGCTAAAAGAGCTTTCCCAAGAATACATACTACTTCATGTAGCTAAGATAGCAACTTCAGATCCTCAAAGGTAAGTCTTATTGAAATTAGTAGAATTTACTTATGAATTGGACTACCTACCTACCTACCTACTGGAATTAAAATTCAACACATATAAAGCATGAACTATACAATCATCCAAATGGGCATTACATAAACATGCATTTTTGACTGAAATGTAAGGATTTGGGGCTTTTTCATCTAGCTAAAAGCAGCTACAGGGAACGGGAACTTCTTCCATATATTTTTCAACACCCCACCAAAAAACCCCAAGGGTTTTAAAAAACAACCCGTTAGCAAATCCTCTGCCAGAGGCTCAGTTAGCTGGCTAATAACACAACCGAAACATCAGAGTGATGGCCTGTCCCCTGCTATGTGCACTCCAAGTCAATATTTCCTCAATGATTTCTAAATGACTCACCTCATTGTCATGTGGAGGCAGCTGGTGCAGAAGCTGCTTGATACGGGCTTTCTCCCCAGGGCTGTTGACATAGGGTACTTTGTCTTCTGGTAGGCAGCTGTAGTATTGATGAACCTAAATGTTAGAAAAGGAGGGCTGCAGTACAATGTCTTGGTTTCTGGTTGGGACATATTTGCTTACAGCAAGAAACACATCAAATACTCTGAGCAGCAATAATTACTCAACAGCTGGAGAGGCATGCAATATACACACGCAGAGATATACAACTTTCCTTACGAGGAAGCCCATTTGACAGAAATGGAAATTTGTTTGACGTAAGGGTCAAAGCGAGAGAAAAACACTAGCTGTTTTCAGTCTAACGCGCCAAGATTGTTTCTTTACCGTCTTCTCAGTTAGTCTCCAGAATGTGAGCATGTTTCCCTTGGCTAGATGGATCTGTCAGCACCTGCCTTTTTAAGCATAGGTTAAGACGCTACTCCTTGGCATCCAATCTATGACTGGGTAACTGAGCCTCCACCTACACTGCAGCCCTGAAGGCCTTTTCTGTAACAATTTGTGAAAATAATCAGTAGATAAAATCTGTCGGAAGGCTGAATTTTCTCTTTAAGACTCAGAGTATGTAATTAAAAGCCAACTTGAAAAGTGCAACAGACTAAGCAGTACAGCAAGACCTGGTCCCAGAAAATTCCATTTATAGTAGGTGCATTTATGATGTTCAGACCTCTCCAGTTTATTCCACTGCCATTGCCATGGACGCTAAACAAATAGTACAGCGTTGTCTGATGGACACATGAAAGAAACAGGTCTTGACTGCAATGCCAAACCCACCATCTTGCAGATTTTGGCCCTCCCACTCTCTGGATGCTGCTGGTCTGGTATGTAGCTATGTGAATGGTATATTTCATTTCACATTGTATCAGGTCATGATATAGTTTACTTCATTTTGGCGCATTTTAACATATGATTTTACCCACTGTGGTTTGGAAGCTATGGCTTATTGCTTAGAACATTATGTGAACCTAGCTTTATTATTTTTTTCAGCAAACCATGGTAAAACAAAATATAGTTTAGAATAATGTGTTCTCCCTGCTGTTCTGATGTCAGGACAACAGAAAGTATGGGCAGTGAACAAGCTGTTACTGGATGAGTTAGTGGCCAGATGCTAAAGGGTTGAAAAGTTGTGCTCACTAGAAAAGAGATCTGGAATGTAAAAATAATAATTGTACAGGAGTATATCTAAACCCAAGATATTTCAAAATGTTCCAAGCCAAGAATTTTGAATATATTACCTACTATCATGGTACAGTCATGACAAATAATATCTTGAGTTCTAACCAGACTACTACTGTAGTTGAATGACCATTAAAAATGTATGAATGATGCCGAGGGTGCTCAACAATTCAACTGAGGTAATCCAGCATTGCATATTAAAAAAGAGCTGGAGAGGTTTGAAGTCCCATCTTCCAGTCCATCAAAGATCATCTCCGAGAATGTTCCAAGGGGATTTTTCTCACCTATTGTTCTTTGCTCAACAAGGAGGATTTCATTGGTATGTAAGGTCTGAATGAGTGAGTGAATGTCAGATGCTTATATTGCTAAAATAAATATTTTAAAATCTACCAGTAGTTTCCTGCCACTGCTGAATAATGTTCACTGATATTGCTCTGATGCTGCATTAAAAGATTCCTAATTCTATAACAGAGGGTCAGCCTCTTGTAACAAGGCCATGTATGTCATATCTTGAACTTCAAAATTTCCTACTACCAAAGATCTCTAATTGACAATCCAAGTTCAATCTTTCACCTCAATCAAGATGATTATTGCAGAATGTTCTGTCTTGATCGACATATCTTTCTGTATCTATCAACATAATAACCAGTTCTTGAAAATGTGGAAATGTAACAATCAGTTCTTGAAAATGTGAGATCTTCGTTCTCATGAACGTTTAAACAACAGAAGCTTATAGTCTTTTAAGGTGTGCCTAAATCATTGATATTTCTAAAATCTGGTTCCAAGTTGCATGAGGCCATAGCAGGCAGGCAGATAATCTTCACCCAGACCTCTGGCAAGAGAGAGTAGGACCCTTTACTTCATCACACTTGTCATCTTTTATCTTTATCTTTTATTGATTTTATTGTAATTTCTTTGATTGTTGTGAGCTGCC